CTCGCGTCCCTCGACCAGTCAGAGCAACAGTGGTAGCCAAAGCCAAAGCCAAAGTCGAAGCCGGAGCCGAAGCCTCAGCGCCGAGGAGCTGCTGCGTCATGTGGAGCAGCAGCGTCAAGAGCGTGAATATGCAGCGCAGCTGGAGCAGGTGCTGTGCAACCGCCGCAACACGAACAAGGAAAGGAGGGAGCACAAGGAAAACAAAGAGAACAAGGAGAACAAACAGCCACCGCAGCAGCAACAGCAGCAGCAACAGCAGCAGCAGCAGAAGCAGCAGCAGCAGCAGCTAAATAAATCTAGCTGCTCGAGCTCCACTAGCTCGCCCGCTAAATGCGATCTGGATCTGGGCATTGATTTGCTCTGCTCGCTGGTGAATAAGCGCAGCCTTAGCTATGTCCAAAAGAAACAGCTCATCCGGGATATAGCCAAGCGGTTGGCCTGCCTCGATCTGATGACCAGCAGCAGCAGCAGCATCAACAGTCGMACCGATGTCAAGCGCGGCCAGCACAAGGAGGCGCAGCTCAAGGAGAAGCAGAGAAGAGAGAAATTTATAGCTGGCGGTGCAGGTATGATACTCTTATTGTTCAGTGGAGCTAGCTGTGATATATCCCATACTTCCTTTGTCTATAGATACTTTGCGCCACAGCCAGCATCTCAGAAAGGACGTGGGCGTCAATACAAGTAAAAGGAATTCGCTGGAGCATCCTGTGCCTGCTGCAACCACGCCAGCTCCAGCAGCTGCGCCTTCTGCTGCACCTAGTCCAGCTGCTGCTCGTGCCGCAGCTCCACTGACTCCCGCCCAAACTGCTACGCCCAGGCAGGCTCTCGTCTCTTTGGCTGCTCCTGTGCCTGCTCCTCGCACACGCCTGGCCACGCCCGCACTCTCACCACTGCCCTGTAGCTATACATCCACTAGCAGCGGCGCCTCCCATGAGCTGGTCACACAAAAGACAAATATACAGATTAGATACACCGTCGAGCCTGTCGACGAGCAGGCAGCCGTACAGGAGTGGTTGAATCCCATGACGCAGAGCGAGATTGAGTATGAGGAGAAGCGACAGCAACGCGTCCAGCTGGACTCAGAGCGACGCACGCAGCTCAACTGGATCGAAACGGAAATTATGCGTCTGCGCACGCTACAGCATCTATTGACCAGCGCTGCCAAGGGCGTGCTCCCGCCCCCATCCAGCGCAAAAAGTGTGCGCATACCCATCCAGCTGGAGAAGGACCATGCTCAGGCCATGCCAAATACAGTGAATCGCATGAAGCGATTAGATCAAGCGATGCCAAAAGCAGCGTCACCAGCCAAGACCATTGCAACACCTCCCTGCAGGCGTGGCGGTCCAGCGGCTGCACCTCCTCCGCCTCCTCCTCCACCACCACCACCGACGAGACCGCAACACCCGCCTGCACGTGCGCCCGTCACTAAGCAGCTGCAGCGCAGCAAAATGGCCACGCCCACTGCACTTAGTGAACACTCGGGCAGCACCGAGAGTGTCTGCTCCTTTGTCCAGCAGCGACAGCGCCAGTTCATGGCCCACTATCAAAATCAGCAACAGCAACGCCTGGAGCAGCAGCAGCAGCAACAGCAAGAACAGCTCCTCCTGCGACAGCAGCAGCAGAAGCAGCACGTCATCTATCGGCAGCAGCAGCTGCAGCAGCAGCAATATTATCATGCCACGTGCCACATGGTGAGATGTAAATTCAATGCAAACAGATCTTACAGCTGGAGCTTCTATAACCCATTCACTGGGCTGGAGATTGAGAGAGGAAGAGGGACAAGAGAGGGAGGGAAGGAACTTGTTTATGAACTAACAGATTAGAAAGAGAGAGATATATATGGATAGAGAGAAAGAGAGATAGAGATTGGGAAATATCGAATTGGAAGGTTCCACTGCAAACCAAACAGATCTTATGATGAGAGTTTGAGTGACAATCGAGAGGTAGAGAGGAGGTGAGAGTGCACGAGTGAGTGAGAGAGGGCGAGGGAGTTTGATTGGCCCAATCATTTAGGGTAAACAATGCTGATATGGGCTCGAGTTCCAGGTCTTGTCTTTAATATAATATCTCAGCCGTAGACTTACATGTAGAGTTACATAACTATATAAGAATGACAGAGAAATCGCTATGTATTACAATATTTTGCGATATATTCACATCTACCAACAGCTCAGTATCCTATCGTAACTAAATGTCTCTATCTCAATTTACAGCACCAATGCCCGTATCAGAAACACCAACCACACCAGCAATGCCAGCAACATCAATACCAACAACAACAACAACAATGCCAACAACAGCCACAAAGTCAATACATGGAAATGCAATACGCTCAGGCTGTTGGCAATATCTATGGCTGCCTGGATGAGGGCGCCATCTACTATCAAGTGGTCAACTCGCATGCCTCGCCTTGCCATGTGCACACTGCGGCAGCAACAGTGACGACGACTGCGGCAGCGGCAGCGGCAGCGGCATCGGCAGCTGCAGCAGTAACAACTGCAGCAAGTACCAATTGCACAACCACGAACTCCACCTCATCCATGTGCATTAGTTCGGAGATGTCCATACCGTTGAGTTTGGCCAATGCTGGTGAGTCGACGACCACAACAACAACGACAACAACGCATCAGTATGACGATGTGGCGTGCCATCAGCAGCAGCTGCAGCTGCGCCAGCGTCGACAGCACAGCTCCAGTTCCAGCGAGCAGAAGCGATCGCAGCAGCAGGGCTTGGAGGGGGAACAGAGGCAATCACAGCATATGCTGCAAGTGCGGCCACGTGGCATTGCCTATGTCATACACTTCAGTTCGGGTGCGGACGCCAGCGAGGAAACGCCAGTGTCATTATCCTTGCAGGATCATCTGCAACGTGCTCGCCCGCAGTTCTGCGCTCAGTCCAAGCAGCGCAAAGCGATTCTCAATCAGATGCAGCTGCTGCGCAATGCACGCCGCAAAGAGCTCGAGCAGCTCATCGAATACGGCAGCCTTGACTCGCTGGACCAGCGACTGGAGCAGCTGCCACCACCTGCCACCTGTAAGTGCCGTGCTACCTTGACTCCCGTTGAGTTTTCACTAATGTTTCGATATGCTTTACCTGCAGCTCGCGTTCGCATCTTTACCACGCGCGAGATGAAGGCGTTGACCAGCAAACGCTGCGAGAAACTGCCCGAGGTGATTGCCGCACAGAATCGGGAGTGCGAGGAGCGTCGCCGTCGCAGCAATCGCATACTGCGTGACGTCTTCAATCGGGTATGCCAAACTGCACACATATGCTCTCTATAGACTCGCCATTTCTGATTGCATTTCTCATTCACAGCGTTTGCAGCGTCGCGTTCGCTGTGGCAAGCTCACACTCAATCACAGTCGCACCGTTATCTAGTGCAAGTCCAGGCAGCCACTAATTCAAGCAGTGCCAGTTGCAAAATATATATATAAATATATATATAGAAATCGGCCATATGTATTTGTTTAATGCATCCGTTTTAATCGTCAAATAGTTTTATATGCATGCTATTGAAGGCTCTATCTCAAATCGATTTTATATTTTAATTTAATTTTCATATATACTTATATTAAAATTTTTTTTTGTCCATGTGCTTTGTCACCTTATATTTATTAGAATTTAAATTTGATTATGTTTAACCAATAAATAAATGCATTTGCCATAAAAGAGTTTTCCATTTGGTTTTATAATTCCGTTCTATAATTGAAAAGTAAAATGCTAGCTATGTATATAGGATTAAATCAAGTTTATATTGAACAGAATTATAAATAAAACAGAAAATTTTAATAATAATATGCGTGTTATACACAAAATATTAAAATTTTAAAAAGTTAATGTTTGTGTTTAATTTATATATAAAATAAAGCGAAAATAACAAATCGACGTTACTCCTAAATTTAGCGCAATTTTGGGATCTTCCTGATTAGATAAAGAAAGGCAAGGATTAGTTTCGCTTTTTTTTTGTAGATTGGATTTTATTTATTTAAGTTTATAACATTGGCGATTAACAATATTGCGTATTAATTGTATAATATTATGTAATTAATTTAAACTCTTTGCAAGCTAAACAACGTTTCATTTCCTAAATATGTTTTTGGTGTTCTCTATTCGAAGGAAAATTCTTAAGATTAACAAGATAGAAACATTTAGTCGAATAACAAAAAGAGCACAAAAAACAACAATTAAATAATATTAATTAACAAATTTAATGCAGCTACAAAATGCATATTATTTATAGGTGTTTATCGTTTATCGAGATATAAGTTTTGATTGCAATTATAATGTAAACAGTTAATTTATATATATATGTGTGTATGTTTGTATTTATATATAAATAGGATTATGTTATTTGTAATACCAGCCGCAATGCCAAATCAGGTCACAGGTCTCACATTTCTGTTTTGCTACAGATCGAAGTTTAGTGGAAGGTTGTTCTTTTTCTTTTGTTATTTGTTTGGTTTTTTTTTTCGCCATTGAAGGTTAGGAACGTTTTGGAATCGGAACGGGAATCGATTAGTGGACTGGACCAACGAAACAATGCGAAGCAGTTAAAGTCGGTTACGTATGTATGGGGATTATTTTCGATTAAATAACTTTTGCATACAGATCGGAAATATATATA